TGCAAGGGCACAGGGTGGGGCCGTGAGGCCTCCACCACGGCCTGGATTCACTATGTAGAATGTCACCTCACATTTTCACTGAAGGTGGTAAGGGTGGGCACCCAGCAAGCAGCAGGGACTTGTCCAAGGTTCCAGAGCAGTCCAAGATGCTGATGGAAGAAGCTCCCAGGCTAGTCTCCAGCTAGACCCACCCCTGGAGCTCTTGGGATGTCTGAAGAACTCAGCTGTCCTTCTTCCATTATGTGCCAGAGAGCCTAGCACCAACCTTTCTCTGCTTATCCAGAGGCCCAAAAGCCCAAAAAGTTCTGGACCATCAAGCAACCTAGAATTCTTTTTATCTCTAACAGAAGTGGCTTTAGGCATTCTTCCTTTAGGGGAAGAAGCTTGACTGGTTAGGAATCGTATTATGGCCTTATGATGATAGAATACTGAAAGAGCAAAGGTTTAGTGATTAAGGCTGAATGTGACCACAATCAAAGTCCAATCTTTGTCCTGTATGGGAGCTCAGGCTGCGGGTACATTCACAGGTCTATGACCAGAGTCAGGATTGGGGTAATATTAGACTCAGGCCTCTGTATATGGAGCAGGCCCAGGGCTATCTGCTCCCAGGGCCAGAGCTCAATCTATGACCAGAACAAGAGCTAATGTATGTCCATAATCAAGGCTCAGTGTATGTCTATCCATGTCAGAGTTCAATACAGAGGAAAGATCAGTGTTTAGTCTATCGCACAGAGTCAGAGAAGTCATGATAAAGGTCCAGTTCAGACAAGGCAGGATCAGGGCTCAGAGTATAACCAGGATCAGGTTCATTCTATGATCTAGGGCCAGAGCTCAATATGGACTGGGATGAGGGATCAAGACCAGGATTCAACCTATGACCAGACTCAGGACTTATTTGTAAACTTGATGAGTTCTATTTCCAAGTTAAGGCTTTCTCAGTAGTATATAATTCTAAGAGTGTCTAAATTTACTAAATTAGTAAATTTAAATGACTAACCCCAACTGCCACTCCCCCAGCTTCTCCAATTCCCGAGTTATTGGCCTTTGAAAGGGGGAAACAAAATTGTGCAGCTGGCTGTATCCCCTGTCATGTTACCAGAGTGCCCTCTGGTGGTAGTTCCCAGTAGTGCCAGTTTCCTCAGGTTTGATCCATCTGGCCATCCTCTGTTTCCTGAAGCCTGGCCCTCAGGTCTGTCCACAGAAGCCTATCTGGCCATCTATATGTTCTTACTTCATCCCCTCAGAGAATTAGACATCAGGAATTATCAGGTGGACAGTGGACACAAGCTTTTCTTTTTCATGTCCAGTTGGTGTCTGTTACGAGGGACCTAGCTATGTGATGAGATTCATGTGTTTTATTCATTCATTCATTTGGCAGATACTATTGTCCACCTACCTTGTGTCAGAATAGTAGTGAGCAACATAAAGCTCCCAACCTCCTGGAGCTTCTGTTCTGTGAATCTCCAAGCCCTGGTACAGTCCTCATAGAAAGGCACTGACAGTAGCAGAAGGTTGAGGGAGGTTCAGAACTGGGTATCTTAGGGTCCTTTCTCCCTGTGGCTTTCCAGATTAAACTAGACTAGGCTTGAGATTCTCCGTATTCACCTCTCCTCACACACACCACCATCCTTAGGCCAGAGGCTCCTTCGAGGGCTACAATCATACCGGGCCTCTCTTCTCCAGAACCCAGGCCTGTGGAGCAGGCCTTCAGGGCTGCTCTCCTGGACTAACAGCCCTTGAATTTCCTCCAGAACATGCTCTCTCCATTACACTCAAGTGCTCAAGGAAAATTCCTGAATTTTCTTCTAGATTCTTTTCTTTCCCTCTCCTAGGAAATCCAACAGGGTGATTTGCCCCATTTATCTAAGAGATGGATGCCGCTGTTCACAGTGACCACTCCAGTCCAAGCCCCCAAGCACAATCCTTTGCAGTAACCTCCTATCCCACCCCCTTGTTTTCCTGATTGCCCTTCAACACTATTTTCTACACAGCAGGCAGAGTGATCTTTACAATCATAAATCAGATCATATCACTTCCTTGCTTAAAACCTTCCAGTGGTTCCCATCTCATCAAGAATAGAATCCTAACTCCTCACCCTGGCTTACTAAGCTTGCGGTGGGCTGAGGCATAACCCCTTCTCCACCTCTCCAGGGTCCCCTCCCATTTCTATAGCCCTTCTTTCTTGTTTTACATGTACAGGTCAAGTACATATTTTCCTTGGGGCTTTTTCACTGGCCACCTTTTGAGCTTGAAATAGTCTTGCTGTAAACCTTAGCATGGCTGACTCTGTCATTCAGAGCTCAGCTTAAATGTCACCTCTCAGGAGCCCTTCCTAAACTACCCAGGTCCCTCTGACACCAGCTTCCTACTGTGATTTCCTGCACAGAGCTGTTTATTAACTGATGTCTCTTGTTTGCTTAATTCTTTTCGTGTGTGTGTGTGTGTGTGTGTGTGTGTGTGTGTGTGTGTTGTATGTGCATATGTGGACATAAGTGCCATGTATGTGTGCACAAGTACAGAGGCCAGAAGAGATCTGTTCTGTCACTTTCTGACTTACTCTCTTGAGACTGAACCTCTCACTGACCCTGAAGCTTGGTTTGGGGCCAGCAAGCCCTAGTAATCCCATACCCCCCTACTCCCAGCAGTGTTCTGGGTTCTAGGTTCATGGGCATGACCACATCTGGCTTTTTACAAGGGTGCTGGACTCTGATCTCAGCTCCTCATGCTGTGCAACAGTGCTCTTACCCACTGAACCATCTTTCCAGTTCTGTTTACTGTCTGTTTCCCCAAGTAGAAAGTGTGCTCCTAGTGCTAGACACAGCAAGGTTCAGGAATTGTCTGTTAGGTTCACTGGCAAAAACTAGTTCTCAGGGGCTGCCCTCATTTCCTCTAATGGGAATAGAAGGAGGAAACCCATTTCTAACCCTTTAGATGGGCTTTCTGGAGGCCAGCGATAGTTCCCTCTGGGAGGTGGGCTCCCTGTACCACCCCAACACTCCCTTATGGCAAGTCCTGGGAAGCACTATCCTTTCAGAAGGACCAGCTCTGTGTCCTCACTGTAGCCCTGGACCACTGGAGACAAACCATGGTAGGACTCCAGAGCTGGGGATGGAGGGCTCAGTCTTCTGCAGTGCCCTCTGCAGGAACCAATGGGCCCTCAAGGATTCTTCAAGGTCAAGGTGTTTGTTGTTAGACTCTTCACTTTAACAGAAATAGCCTCCCAGGGGCCTGCCTGGGAAAGGCCTGCAGAGGGGTAGGGATGGAACATATCCATGAGCCCTACGATGTACAGAGAGTGGGGCTACTCCAGGGCTTCACAGGCTATACTGTTTGCAAAAGGCCTGTTCCTTGGCTCTCACCAGGGAAGCTATGTGAAGGGAGGAGACCTCAGGGTGAAGCCTGAAGACCTGAGGGTGCTTGCTGGGGCTGATTGGGAAAGTGGACCCCAAGGCACTGGTGTAATGAGGAGATGGAGTGGTATAGATGAAAGAAATGATCATCTTCATTTGGGGGGTGGCAGGAAGGGGCTCTAGTGAGTCAATGCCCCCACCTCCTCCTCTCCCCCCTCTACTCACACTGTTGATTCTTGGCCTGTTGATCCACTGACCTGAATCCGTATCTGATCTATACTTCCTCTCCAGCAGCTGGCTCCAAAACAAGATCAAGACGTCTTCTTGTGGGGCGAAAGACACAGGAGCCTTGAGAGTATAATTTAAGGCATTTGTCAGCAAGTGGGAGAGGGTATGGGGCTGGGCCCACCATTGCAGGATGAATGTGGGGTGTCTCCTCCTAAGGTGTTGGGAGAAGGGAGGTCCAGATCACACCCAAGGGAGCATCAGTGGGGGCCCTTCTCTCTGGCTACTTTCAAGGAAGCAGGTGGTATTTGGGGCTACTGGCCCAGAAGAGAGTATGAGCTTGGTAAGATGAACACACACATACACACACACACACACACACACACACACACACACACACACACACACACACTCACTGACATGTGCACACACACATATGCAAACACATATCCAATAGGGGTGAGAAAATACTCTGAGAAGAGGTATTAATTCCAGGTGAGGTTAGAGACCCCTGACCTGTGTGAACTAACAGGGATGACCTACTCAATACTTGCTGACAAATTTGCTTTTCTCTAGATCCCTAGGAGGGGAGATGACAGGAGAGGAGGAGAGGAGAACAGAACAGCAGAGGAAGGAAGACAGAACCTCAGAGCTGGTGGGGAGTACCTGGTCTGTGGTAGAAAAGCAGCAGAGCCCATCATGGAAAGAGAAACGGAGGCTGATGAAGCTCAGGGTGGATGGCAAGGAGTCATAGAACCCAAGGGGTGGTGGGCCAGCTTTGGCCACCATGAGTGCCTGCTTGGGTCCCTGCAGGGAGAGGAGGGTCTCAGAGTTACCGGATCTTCCCCAGTCTTCTGTCCCATGGCACTTCTTGCAAGGCCGTCCGTATTCCTATCAGAACCCCTCATCTACTTGGTTAGACCACAAGTTGGGTGCAAACTCTGCAAGCCCAGCTAGCCTTGGAGAAGGTCTAGGTTTTGCATGGCCCCTGGACCGCTTCTCTCCTTACTGTCTGTTCTGTGCTGGGTGGCCACACCCTTAACTGCCACCCTTCATACTCTCACATGCACGTGTGATGTTGACGGTTATCTAAACACTGCCATTCATCTCTTACAGGATCCCAGCAGGTGCACCCACAGTCACTCCTACCCTTTATCTAGCCCTATGTCTGACATAGCTTTTCCAGCAGACATTCCCAGGCACACAGAGTCTCAGTCTTTTGTTTATAGTCACACACTCCTTTCTCCTGGGATCCCTTCTAGGTCTCCAAGGAGGGCTGGTGCCAGGATACTAAAGTTTTTGGCTGTAGGATGGCACTGCCCAAGAACCCAGGTGCTTATGAGAGCCCATGGTCAGCCCCTTCCTCCACTTGCACACCACAGAGGACTTCAAAGATGCTTTATTGAGGAGTGAGGCACAGTGGGAATGCGCAATTGTGGCACAGTCATGGGTGGCTGGTGTTGCTGGCAGTGTAAATCACACAGGGACCTTCAGGATTGGAAAGTCTCCTCACCACTGAGACCCCCAGCTTCAGCTCCCCTGACCCTAGTCAGACAAAAAGGGTGGTCTCAACTTATCTCATGGACCATCCTGGCTGAAGTCAGAAGCTTTGTTCCTCAAAACCCTAAAGGGTATGTTGGGGTAGAGACAAGGAAGAAGGGGAACGGTAGGAGGCTAGAGGTCTTTCACAGTGCACAGAGTCTGGTTGCCACCTGCCATTCCTTCTCTCTTCCTGTCCCAGGGCCTAAGTAGTCCCTCTGGAGTAGATGCTTCTTCCTCCATAGTGTTCAAATGGCTGGGGGGAGGTTCCCAGGCCCAGGGTCCAGTTTCATCAATGTGGAGAGGGGGAGTGGCAGTGAAGTAGAGCTTAGAGATCCCACCCTTCTTGGCGGCATGAGACCCAGTGCCATGGAGAAGGGACAGATGAGGACACTAGTGCCAAGTCCCTGGGCTTATAAGACTTTCTTTTTCAAGTTTTCTTTTAAAATGCACTAAACAGAGAATCCAGTCAGCCAGGGGCCCTGGCCCTCTAAGAGGCAGCCCGGTCCCTGGGTAGATTGAGCTGGGTCTGTTCCGTGCGCGGCAGGTGGCCGGCTGTGGTCGCAGGTGCAGGTGCATCCAGAGCGAAGAGGCCGGGGCTAGAGTGGCCGGATGACGCGGCCGAGGCGGCGGGACTGAGCTGCACGGCCGTGGTGTCCTGCGCCGTGCGCTCGCTACTCTCCATTTCCAGTGCCACAGGCCCTGCGCGCCCGCCGCCCTGGCCAGCCGTCGCCGAGGAGCGCGTGCGGGGCGAGGGGCTCCGGCGGCTGCACACGCAGCAGGCGGCGAAGAAACCGAGCGCCAGCACGAGCAGCACCGGCCCCACCACCAGTGGCGTGTTGTACCGGGGCAGGAAGGCGGCGAAAGCGCCCACCAGGGTCACGTTCACGCCCGCCAGCAGCACGCACAGGCCGCACGCGAAGCACAGCGCGGGCGACGGCAAGCTCCGCAGTCCGCCTTGGGTGCGGGCCGTGGGCGCCTTGCTCGTCTTTGCCAGCGGCATGAGCCCGGCCAGGCACGCCTTCGGCTCCCTCCGGCTACCGGTCCCGGATGGCCCACATGTCAGGGACAAGGTAGTGGTGGTCCTGTGGGCACACAGGAAAAGGGCGAGTCAGAGGGGCGGTACGTGTCAGCCTCCAACCTGAGCTCAGTTTTGTGGTTACCTGCAGGGGTCCCCTTGGGCAGCCCTTGGAAACAACTCATCCCATGGGAATAATCTGAATTTGTTTTCTCACTCATCCTGAGAGGGCAAGACTGAGCTTATCCTCCCGTCTCCCTCCAAGAAGCCTTTCTGCTCTAATTAAACAAGTGAACAGTTCTAAGTGCTTGGCAGGTTGCTTGTTAAATGATTGTCCTCTTCCTCCCCTTTCTCAGTAGTCCCAGCCAGAGGGCAGTTTTTGAGTGTTAGACACTGCTCTCAGCCTAAGTAGGGAAGGTCTGGGTCTAGTCCCTTCTTGCTCAAGTGAAGAAAATGAAGCTCAGAGCCTGCTACCAGTTTACCCAAGACCCAGGCCCAGGATCTAAATGGCCTGTTGCCTGGTAAGCAGTGACATTAAGTTTCCTGAACACCAGATGAGGCTCTTGTATGAGTGGCCTGGTGAGTGATGGAGCTCCTGATGTTCCACATGTTCAGGGGAGGGGGCAGTTTCCACATGAACTGGACCCCTAGGCTCTTTTACAGTGCATTCTCTTGGATTCCAGGCCTATCTTCATTTCACCATCCAGGATTTAGCAGTTGGACCTAGCTTCAAAAGTCTGATCTATATATATGGGCAGGGAGATGGGTAAAAGGGCTTGCTGCCTAAGCCTGACAACCTGAGTTTGATCCCTGGAACTCGTGTAAAAGCCTCTGGAACCCACACAAAAAGCCTGTACCCCCTACTGTAAGACGGGAGGTGGAGCCAGCTGGAATCAGCTAGTCTGGAGTACACAGTGCCGTAGTAGAAGTAATACAGACCCTGCCTCAAAACAAGGTAGAAGAAAAGAACCAACTGTGGACAAGTTATCCTCTGACCTCCAAATGTATGCTGTGGCATGCATACTGTGGTATGCATGCACCCACAATCACACATATATACACACAAAATAAATTATTATTAATGATAATGAAAGCTAGAGTCCCTTTCTAGGAATCTCTAGGTATATCTGGTTCTGGGAATATATCTGGTAGAATTCTAGAAACCTGTGCAGAAGCAAGAGTAACCTAGTAAATGTCTCAGAATTTATGTCTTCTCAAACAAAACAAAACAAAACAAAACAAAACAGGGGTTGGACATGGCATCACACATCTTTAATACTAGCACTTGAGAAGCAGAGGCAGAGGCTGGCAGAGCTCTCTGAGTTCAAGGCCAGCCTGGTCTACATAGCAAGTTTCAGGCCAGTCAGGGCTAAAGAACAGACCCTATCCTGAAAAACAAGCAAAATAGAAAATCTGATTTCTATTTGAGGATTCTGACCTATAACACAAGATCACAAGCACCAAGGCCTGTGAGATCATAGTTTGTGAGTTGTGTTGGAATAGTGGAACAATGTCAGTAAAAGAGCCTAGATAGAGAGGGGAGGAATCTGATGATTCCATAGGTAGGATCTGAGCACTTAGAGTGGGAAACAGGGAGGGCAAGCTGGTACAGTATTCTCACAGTCTATGCTCATTCTTGTGGGGCAAATAGAATCAGCTTCATAGGGTGTCACAAGAATTGAATGCTTTTTTTTTTTTCTTTTTGAGACAGGGTCTCCCTGTAGCCCCAGCTGACCTGGAACTCACTATGTAGACCAGGTTGGCCTTGAACTCAGAGATCTGCCTGCCTCTGCCTCCCAAGTGCTGGGACTACAGGTATGCGCCACCATGCTAGGCATGTTAATTGAATGCTTTTAGCTATGTAAAATGCTTAAAACAGTAAGTAAAAAGCATTAAAAATGACAAAGAAGGCAGCTATAAAATCACAGCTCTGAGAGATGGATCATGCCACATGTCTGGAAACAGCAGTTTCTTTGCCCAAACTCCTGGCAAAGAAAGCACATGCTGACTCTTGAGGGTACATGTTGACTCTAATAAGCCTCAGTTACCTCAGGAAGCTCCCTACTGTGTAACTCCACCAGCTGCCAGTCATTCTATCAAGCAATCACTAAAGGCATGCAAACTGCTTAGTTTATAAGCACTTTTACATCCATGATATCACTGAATCCCTACAGCTTCTTGACACTTATTAATGGCCACATTTTATAACAGAGGAAACCAAGGTTCAGATAGGTAAGTAGTTGGGGGCTCTGGGAATTGGACTAAAAGGAAAAAAAAAAGACAGCCTGAGATCAGAGTCAGAAAACAGATGATAGGGAACACACTATAGATAGTTTTGCTGAATTTCAGAGGTGAACCCTCAGAAGGGCTGTGGGATTTTCAGAACTTTTTCTTTCAAGTCCTTGTCTGCTTCTTCAGCCCCACATTTACCAATATCTGGCATTAACTGGCAAAGTCAAGGTCTTCTTACAGGGAAGGTTCAGTCGGAGACTGAGTGAGGATGCCCCTGGCAGAAAGTATGGAGTCAGCTTCTCATCTCACTTCACACCAGATTTGAAAGCTGACATTGGACAAGGGAGATTTGGGTGGCTCTAATTTCCTCTAATTCAAGGATCTAATGCTACTGCCTGCATAGGGTCTGTGGCCCCCTGGATACCCCTGGTGCAGTGTTGGGTATCCAGGGGGCCACAGACCCTATGCAGGCAGATCCTGCTTTGTTATGAGAACTGTGGTTAGCACTGCTGTGAGGTATTCACGCTATTTACTACATCTTTCTGATCGTAACTGTTTTGTTTTGGTGGTAGTGGAAATTGAATTTAGATTAGAGCCTCACATACTAGGTGAGTACCACTGAGCTATTTACTAGCCCTCTTTTTACTTTTTAAAAAATATTTATTATTTTTATTTTATGTGTATCAGTGTATTGCCTGCATATATGTAAGTGCACCCATGTCGTGCAATGCCGCGGAGGTCAGAAGAGGCAGTCAGTGCTCTTAACCACTGAGCAATCTCTCCAGCCCCCTCTTTTTACTTTTTATTTTGAGATGCAGTCTTACTGAGTTACCCAGACTGGCCTTGAACTTGGTAGTCCAGGCAAACCTTGAACTTTTGATCCTTCTGAGTAGCTTGGATTAAAGGCCTGTACCACCGGGTCCAGTTGACCTTTACAAAGCTCTTCTGAGCACATGTTAAGCCAGCATCTCCTAGCCAGTGAACTGTGAACTGTGAGATGTGTCACTTCTAAGCTGAGGCACTGTGTTTTGAAAGCTAGAACCTCCAAATTAATTCTGTTGTCTCTGTAAATCTAGCCCTCAAGCCTAGCACTTGACCACAGGGAAGGCTGTTGCTCTGAATTTTCAGCTACTTGGATTAGAAGAACCTTGCTTTAGTGAATCCTCCAAGCTGCTAGGTCTGGGAAGATCACCTAGACTAAGTCTTCTGTCTTTTTTTTATTTTAGTAGTGTTGGGGATTCGATCCATAGCCGCATGCATGATAGTCAAGTGCTCTACCACTGATCTACATCCCTAGACTTTTTTTTCAAATTTTGAGGAGATTTTTGCTAAGTTGCTAAGCTGCCCAGGCTGCCCTTCCATTTGTGATCCTCCTGCTTGACCATCTTAGGAGGTGGAATTATAGGTATGTACCACCACACTCTACAACCAAGACCTCCATTTCTAGACAGGAGGGATTGAGGACTGGAGTGAGAAAGGTCATAGAGGGAGACTGTGCCAAGTCAGAACACAAACAGCTCTTTTTCAGCCCAACCAGGGTTCTGAACACTGATGTCAGCTGTCCATGACCCTGGCTAAGCAGTTCCCTGTCTCTGTTGCTCTGCCTCTGGCCAAGAAGGTCTTGTGATCCTTATCTGGGAGTCCCCTCTAGAAGCAGTTTGGGGTGGGATCAGGGGCAGGAGCAGTAACTTGGGGCTGGGCCTCAGGGATGGCCAGGGTTTTGAATTTTGAGCTGATAGTCCCTCTCCCTGGGCCTTAGCTGTCTGATCATAAAGGAGGAACATAATGATTATCCCTGAACTGAGGTCTCTTGCCAACCTGCTGCCCCATCCTTAGGTATCTGAGGGTTGTGAAGATGGAAATGGAGCCCTGTTCAGAAATATTGCACGGTATCATGAAGGGGTACATTGATCTGTAATATGACGATACCTGTTCATTTCTCCAAATTCTTTACTGTAGACTAGATTAAGTCATTTTCCTAAGAAGTCAATGCTGTACCCAGGTTCTGACTGGGGGGTGGGGGGATATACACTGAGCAGTGACTTTGTACTAAGTACACTTCCTATGGCAGCTAGCAGATTTAATCTGCAGTGCAGCCCTGTGAGCTGTTGCAGACCTATCCTCAGTCACAGGAAATGGAAGTTCAGAGAGGGGACGCAACCTTTCCTGCTTTACTCAGCTATAATGGGGAAAGCTGGAGTTTGAACCAGTTCCAACCAGATTGAAAATTTTCTCCTATACCAGAATAGCTGCTTATTGGAAGGTATGAAGATGCTTGTTTTTTGAAAGACTATAGCTTGGAGATAATGAGATAGCTCAACAGGTAAAAGTGCTTGCTGTGCAAGCCTGACAACCTGAGTTTGATCCCCAGAACCCACAGTGGAAAGAGAGAAATGACTAATAAAAGTTGTCCTTTGACCTTTACATGCATATGTATTTGCATACATGCACATACAAATAAATTAAAAAAATTTTTTTGGTCTTTTTGAGACAGGGTCTCCCTGTAGCCCCAGCTGGCCTAGAACTTACTATGTAGAGCAGGCTGGCCTTGAACTCACAGAGATCTGCCTGCCTCTGCCTCCCGAGTGCTGGGATTAAAGGCATGCACCACCACGCTGGGCAAATAAATAAAAATTTAAAAGAGACTGCAGCCATTGATTATAATTATCAGGTAATCATCAACAAGCTTGGGGTGGTCCTCAGTAGATGGTCTCTGCTCCTGGGGAGAGAGTTTCAGTCTGAGCCCCTGTGCC